TACCATAGGCATTCCATTTTTCATGATCATTTCATCCTCATATTGGGTGTATGATTTCATTTTTGTAGCAAATGTGGAATTTCATTAAATAAACAACTTTCACATTTTACAAATGTTTCTTGTTACTGTGTACGTATACACACATACACAAAAAATCGTGCTCCCTTATCTTGGTTCTAAATAGTAATATTCCCAGGAAAACTAAAATGCCATTAATATAACCCACAATAAAATTTTGTTTATGAAATAAACATTCCCACTCTATAATGAGATCAGATTTCTCCGAGTATAGCTTTTAAGCATATCATGGAAGGATGAACAAATGAGCTTTTAGATCCTTTAATCTGAGAATATAATACTTAAGGTTCTTTTTAGGATAGTCTTTTATTATCTAAGACTCTTGAGGGAAAGTATTTATAATTATTACCAGTCACAAACAAAGCTTCTGGAATAAATCCTCTGTAAACAGGATTGGCATATTAAAGGAACAAGTCTTGATAGGATTGTTTTCAATAGTAGGAAGGATGATATTCTTTGGAGAAATTTTTATTATCTAATTAAAAACTTCTTGACTAATATCAGATTAACTCATTAGCTGAACTTTTGATTACCCATGTTCTCCTAAGTGTCTCAAGACCATGAGAGTAGCTGTACATCTCTGATTGAATGCACTAACAATGATAACCAATTCGAGTTCCTCTTTTTATCACAACCCATCAAAGGAACACAAAGAAGTTCAAATTAAAATAAGATGAATGAAAAGAACATGCTCCTTTTTCTGACTGTCCTAAAGTAGTTTTCTATCTTTAAGCAAAGTTCACTCAGTAATTATCTTATTTATGAAAGGGAAAGCAGAAGGATATTTCTCTTATCAAATCAATGTCTTTTATACTTTAGCTGTGGAAGGTATTTTAAGCCAGTCAAAAAGAATATCACCAACTCATTTCCTCCCACCCACTGTTTTAAATTGTTTGCTTGGTTCCAATGTATACTACACTTACATAAGTTGTTTATGAAGAGCCAAATTAATAGTCTTTGCAATTGTTTTCATTGGAATTTGGAGAGCTGACAAATGAATTAGCAGAAAATGGCAATTCTACATGAATTAGCTTTTAAGTCTCCCTAAGAGGCTGATGTAGAACGTAATAAGAGACTTATTAGGAGAAGTAGGACAACTTAATTCAGATTGATTATAGACTTCGGTGAAGACAGCTGGGGTTCAAATGAAACTGAAAAAGAACTTATATGCACTTCAAAGTATGCTAAGCAGATGTCTGAAACAATTACCCCACTCTGCCTTTTCAGAAGTTTCAAAGGCAGAAAGGGAATAGCATGGGAAAGGAGAGTTCAGTTTGCTGAAGTTGAGGTAGGGGTTGCTGAAACACATACACCCAAGCACCCGCTATTTACGCTACTTTGAATAATGAAAGCACTTTGACTTCAGTGTCCTAAGTGATTTCTTCTCAGTTTTATAAACAAAGTGGGAAACAAGAATAAATAAAGCCTAACTAAGCAAGAACTGACATTACATCCAACAGATAATTTAATCCGGAACTGAAAGATGAACAGCTCTCATTTTGTTTTCTAAGCTCTGTTAAATCCAACAATGACTATTAAATATAAATACTATATTTTGGAAGTATATAACTAGACTTTACTGCAATGTACCTCTGTACAGATGCATTCCCAGATACTATGGATAAAAAGCACATGTTTTTTAAACATCACAGATGCACACTTTAAAAACCAGATAAAGCTCTAATTACTGCATATGACAGACATTAGTTCCAGAGTTCCAAAGCATTACATGTTTTTTTGCTTGTTTTTTTTATGATCAAAGGCTTACATAATTCACACAGCATTTTTTTTTTACCAAAACAAGTAAAGCCTCCACATAACAATTCATTTGTAGTTTTTGACAATGAACAAAATATTAGTTAATTTTCCTCTTCCTACCATAGGCAGTAAATCTAATTCATTATTAAGATATGATTTCTGTCTTCTGAGTTGGCAGAACTTACATAATTTGGAATCATTACTCTCATTGCCCTGCTCGTGCTGGTTCTGTCTATTCATGCATTCCCTAACTCTGAAAGAATCACAAACTTCATAAAATTCCTATATAAGCAAGGATTTAAAGTTGACTCAGAGGAATTATAAAGGCAGCAAAATTAATAAAATAAGAATAAAAAGTGAGAACTAGGGTTAAGAGGATAAAGGTAGTAAGGGAAGACAGACGTGTGTGAACGTTTTTGCAAGCTTCCTGTTGGCCAAAATGAAGACAAAATTCTCCTGTTATACATCATATTTCATGTTATCTGCCCAGAGTAAATATACTTGGCTCTTCTCAATGTCAAATTCTGAGACGGCATTCCTCTGATAACTTTCTAAAACAAAACAACAAAAACACTCAGGAACTCAGGATAGTAGGCCTGAAAAGATCCATTTACTGTTTTTCTCCTCAACTTACTATTCTATTTATTTTAAAGAGTGTTATTTGAAAGGGAGAGTAACAGAGTGAAGGAGGCAGAGACAGAGCGACAGGAATGCAGAAGAGTGTAGGGAGAGAGGGAGAGAGACGGAAAGAATCCCCATCAGCTTTCACTCCACAAATAGCTGCAATGGCTAGGGCTGGCATAGGAGCAAGACAGGAAACGTGAACTCCATCTGCTCTTCTCACATGGGTAGCAGGGACCTAACTACTTGGGCCATCTTTCATTGCTTTCCCAGGTATCATAGGAGGGAGCTGAATCAGAAGTGGAGCAGCTGTGATTAGAACTGGGTCTCACATGAGATTCAGGTGTTGTAGGTGTTGGTTAATCCACTATGCTACAACATCTGCATATATTTTTTTAATTTGAAGTGCAGGGATATGAGAGGGAGGGGGGACAGCGACAGTCAGGGAGAGGAATAGAGAGAGACTGTATATCTAGCATCAAGTTGTTTATTCTGAAATGCTCATACCACCAGGGATGGGTCATGCTGCAGCTGTGAGCCAGGAACTCCATCTAGATATTGTATGTGGGTGGCAGGGATCCAAGTACTTGGGCCATTATCTGCTGCATCCCTGGTACATGGGCTACATGGGCTGGAAGCTGGGTTTGAAGTGAGGGGCAGCCAGGACTTAAACCAGGTACTCTGATAAGACTTCACAACAATGCCTCCCCTTCTTAATATTCTAGTTATGAATAATGAACATAAGTCAGAATGGCTTAGGTGAAGCTGGTGTTTAAGTTAGTGGTCAAGATCCTACTTTGTCTGTTGGACTACCTGGGTTCAGGTCCTGGATAGCTTTCTGAGGGTGAGCACACTGGGTAGCAGCACATGGTGACCCACGTGCTTGGGTTCCTGGGACCCATGAGACACCAAACTAGTTCCTGGCTTCATCCCACCACAACAACCTTCAGAATCTTTCTGACTTCCACTTTTTAAATCTTATTTTTATTAGAAAATCAGACATACAGAGTGGAGGAGAGACAGAGAAGAAGTTCTTCATGTGCTGATTCATCACCCAAGCAGCCACAATTGCTGGAGCTGCACTGATCCAAAGCCAGGAGCCTGGAGTCTCTTCTGTGTCTCCCATGTGGGTGCAGAGTCCCAAGGCCTTGGGCTATCCTTGAGTGCTTTCCCAGGCCTCAAACAGGGAGTTGGATGGGAAGCAGGGCCACAAGGATACAAACTGGTACCCAGATGGGATCCTGGTGCATGCAAGGTGAGGACTTTAACTGCGAGGCTATGGTGCCATGCCCTGATTTCTACTTTTACTTTTGCTTCTGCTAATGGGAACACGGGGCGTCAGCAGACTTGACTACTTAGGTGCCCGCCAACCTCTTGGGAGACCCAGACAGAATTTCTTATATCACTGAGGTCATGGCCTCAAAACAGAGTTCTCCTAAGAGTGTTTGTTACAAAAGCCTGACTGGCTTCCAGCTTTTTCTGCTTTCTGGCTCACCAAGTGATTACAGCTCCACGTGTGCTCTGACAGTGCCACCCACTACTCTTGTGAGATGGCTGTAGTAATGGGGCTCATACAGTCTGGGACTCTGAACTTCCCAAATCACAATCCAAGAGAAATGTCTTTCCTTCATAAGTAGCTTCTCTTGGGTATTTTGTTACCTTGACCAACACAATCACCATTGAAGCCATTTCAAATTTTGAGCATCTAGGCAATAAAAATACAGTTGAGCTAAAGCAAAATATCTGGGCATACGATTTGAAGCCTGGATAGAGATTTAAAAAAAAATAGGAAAACAAATGTAGGAGAAGAATGAGGATACCGCAAAACTACAAAAAGCAAGGGGGCTATTGACGCTAGATGAATAAAGATGTTACACATTGCTGGTTTCAACTTGATATGCCTAAATATGTATATTCTTTCATTATAAACATACATATGCATGTGCATGTGTGTGTGTGCATGTACATATATATCATGTTTGTGCCCTGAGGGGATTTAATTTGACTGCACAGACATAAACATTTCAAATCTAGTGGCTTGTCCCATTAACAGAGGGCCAATATAAGTTAAAACTGTATTTATATACATTGCTTTCTAGGAGAAGGGTAGCAATAAAAGCTGTACTTCACAGTAGCATAACTTATCTAAGTCACATAGTTTAATTAGCAAAGAGGCCCAAACCCTGACTGATGGCACTTTCTTAAGTGCTATACATCTGTCTACTATGTTAATAATATCAACTGCATACACACACACACCCCAGATTATTTTAGTACAATCAATTTCCTAATAGCAAAATCAACTGATTTTGCACTGTAACTTTTCTGCATCTCATTAGATGGGGAAATGGTTAGATTACTGTATCATTTTTTGGGGAAAATGTCATGAAAGTAAGAATGTGCACTGTTAAGGATAGACTGATGACTGCTACTTAAAAGAGTCATATTTTTAACTTGGCGGTAAGAAAACACTGCACTCGAGTTCTGACTGGAACCTCTTTTGAGTCGCTCAAAGGGCTCTAAAGCAAAGTGGTAGACAGTACCTTGACTTTCTCGAGGTGATCTTGGAGAGAGTCAATAAGGAGATCGCCCACAGGCTGCCAGGATCCCTTGATCACCTCAGCTTGACGTAACTTGAGGTCGAGCTCATCCGTCGCCGCCTGAAGTGCCTGGAGTGTCTCAAGGGCCTCATCTATTTTTCTCTGCCAGTCAGCGGAGTGCAGGTTTAATTTCTCCCACTCAGTGTTGACCTCCTCGGCCTGCTTTCGTAGGAGCCGAGTGACATTCTGGGCTCTCTCGTCAGGAGGCAGCTCTAAATTGGCAATATGACAAGGTTTGAGACCACATTCATTTTGTGTTTAAAAAAGCATTGTCAGAAAGGTCATCCTCAAAGGAAGAAAGAGAATATGGTTTAACAAGAGGCTAATTTGCTGATTAACGGCTCTTTTATGCTTTGGCATCAATTCTGATGCACAGCTCCGGTCTGTCTTCTTAGTGAATCTGTTCTACCTTATATCAATCAGATAACCCCAGATTCATTGATGCCACCGAGGAGAAAAACGTCAGGATGCCTCCCACAAGCTCTAATTTACTTCTGTCGGGCTCTTACATGGAAAATGAGCTTATGGTCTTTGTAACAATAGAATTCCTCCTCACAGATAACCTTCTTTGTTTATTATTTTCTAAACGTTCCAATAACGGATCGCTAATCTCTTTTCATGTTTATTTATGGGCATGGAAACAGACTTATGCATGGTGCTTTATGAGTCCTTTTTCTCTTTCAACATCTCCGTTTAATTTGAATTGATTCTATTTAACCTAGAAAATATGAGCACTCTCCATACCCTGGCAGCCAGAATGGATGGGCTGCTCTGTCACCACTGATCCTTCTATCAATATATTATTATAGTTCCACATTCAATTACCTCTGGGCTCCTGGTCGAGTTTCTCTAGTCCTTGCAAAGGCTGTTCTGTCAGAAATATCCGCACGGTCTCCAGGGTACTCAGGATTACAGGTTCTTTAGTTTTCAATTCCCTCTTGAAGGTCTGTGAAATGAGATGAAAAGAAATGCTTATTTGGCTTCTGGCATTCTTCTCAGAATTAATCCAGGGTGCTCAGAACTTGTTTATGGAACTCCCAGGTCAATTTCTATCTCCTTTATTTATAAACTGATAGTCATAAATGATAAACAAGGCTATTCAGACTTTCCTGCTAACCAAGAAACCACTGTGCTTGAGGAACTATTCTGAAGATGGGGGTGGGAGGGGCTTTAAGAAGTTAGTGCCCTCCCACTAAGATAAAGAGTGCTTTATTTCTATATCCCAATTTTGGAAGGTATATGCAGACTTAAACACATCTTACAGAATGCATATCCAGAATGTATCTGGAAGCATTAAAGACTATTTGGAAAATCTTGGGCAGGGTTGAAGTATACAATGAATGCAGTTGACAAGCACCAGCTAATTTGGTCTGGTGGTGGAGTAAAAGAGTGTATTAAGAGTAAGCAAAGCTAAAATTCTCAGTATCTTTGAAAAACACTTATTATTCACTGCAGGTGCAGGCACTGTGGTATAACAGGTTAAGCCACAACGTGTTGACAAACAGCATTTGCAATCAGAATGTCAGTTTGAGTCCCAGCTGCTCTGTTTCCCATCTAACTCTCTGGTAATGTGCCTGGCAAAGAAGTAGATGAGGGCTCAAGTGCTCATGTGGGCAGCCTGGGTGGAATTCCTGGCTTTGGCCTGGGCTAACTCTGGCTGTTGCTATCATTTGGGGAATGGTCCAGTGAATTAATGATTTCTCTCTCTCACACACACAATGTCTTTTAAATAAACAATTGAAAAAAAATCATCCATTTTGCCATCTAGGAGAGTAGTAGAGATGTTCTGAGATGCTATGAAGTAGCAGTAGTGGGAACAAGTTTGCAGACAGAACAGACCTAAAATGAGTTTCTGGAGGCCAAACAGCCCAGTTCCCAAATCTATTCACCAATCCTTAATTTCCCTTGACACAAGGGATTTAATATTAAAGCAAAATGCATAGTTTTTTTTTTGTCTTCAAAAAATTTTTGGCTAAAAACAAGGGAGAAAAATGGAGAAAAATGGAAAAAAAAAGGGAGAAACCAGAAGTAGAATGAAAACAATAAGTTCATACTGGAGTACAACTGGCTAAGAGGGTTGCTGCGAGGTAACAAGAAGCTAACAGATACTCAAAATCAAAAAAGATAGTGAATTAACCCAGATGCCATAATCTCAGAAGTAAAATGCTAACGAAGTTATTTATATAGCATCAATGTTAAACAGGAAAAAAACAATAATTGACCTGTCCTAAAGCTTCATCATTTATCTTTTTTCAACTCTTTTATTTCTACCACTGTTGACTACTGAGTTTAAGCCTTGTTCTGTTACTGGGAGAAATATTAGTGGTATACTCCTTCAAATTTCAGATGCACCATTGGGCTTGCAGGATACATTTGTCAATAAAATCTCAGTAGTATTCACCATTCAAAAGATTCCTGAGTCTTATGCTTTGCAAAAATAATTTATCTTCTACTACTATTTACAATTCTGTAGAAAGAGGCAAAGTATTTGAATAAAAGTGACTTAAAAAAAGTGGAATAAAAGTGGAATATTAGGATTGAGCCTTTAGATAGGAAAGTCATTTCTTCATTGTGGGATTTGCTATGCCTTTAAAAATCACAGTAGGCAGGATTATAACTTTGCTTACATAAAACGTTGATCCTTTCTCTAATACTACACTTGAAATATTTATGTGTATGTTTGTGTGTGTGTGTGTGTGTATACATGCAATATATGTATGTGCACATAGCTGTGCCTGGTGTTTTTGAAATATATTTAAAATATTGAACTTGAAACCAAGTATTTTGATTGTATCCTCTTCTGGAGCTGATAGGAAACAATTGATACTGAGGAAAATCGAAGAACAGAGGCAAAGGACATAATATTACACGGCATGTGTGAGTATTTTAGGTAGACTAGTGTTTCTACAGCTTGAATTTCTCATTCACAATTACTAAGAGTCAACTTTTCATGCCATGGGGATGAGGTCTGCTGCCATTTATGTAGTTTTCACTCATCTAAGAGGGCCAAATGATTATATGACAGACTATATTTCTATGCTAAGCTCCAAAGTGTCAAAAAGCTTGGAGTAGTTACCTCTCTATGTATCTATTTACATTTTAGTAAATGTGATGCTCCAGCCTAGGAGATAACTCTAGGTTGTAAAACCTGAGACAAGTGTGGCTGGCTCCCAGAAAAGCTGGATGTAGGGCTCAGGCCAATCTTGTTTTCAAGGAGTTACTGGGCTCTCACCTAAGGAGTACCCAAACATTTATAAAGGAAAATTTTTTTTATCAGCTTTAGGGGTAAGTCTTTGGGCAAAGGGAAGTGATATAAACAATATTTACTATAATTATAGAACATTTAATTTGTGGGACCAGCATTATGGCACAATGGATTGATCTGACACCTACAATGTCAGCATTGCATATGGGCAACAGACCAAGTCCCTGTTGCTCCATTTATGATTCATCTTCTTTCTAATGGTCTGGGAAAGCAGAGATGGATTGTACAAGTACTTGGGTCACTGCCTCCCATGTGGGAGTCCTGGATATAGCTCCTGGCTCCTGGCTGAGCCTGGGTCTTCACAGCCATTTGGGGAGTGAACCAGCAGAAGGATGATCCCTCTGATTTCCTCTTGTGCTCTCCCCTCTCTTTTTGTGGCCATGACTCTCAAAAAATGCTAAAATACTTTACATGTGCTTTCAGGATAAAATAAAGATTAATATTTAAAACCTAAAAGTTGAATGTGCAGGTGTTCTGTATAGGGAACAGAATAAGGAGGAGTGAAGGAAGGTAATATTCCTTCCTCAAGGAAAGAGTGGCCTAAAGTTGGAAAGAAGAAATTGAGATTTGTGAGCCATTCTCTCATTCAGCTAATGCACATTGTACACTGAAGTATAAAAAGATAAGGCGGAGTGGGTCAAGGACTTGGCCCAGAAGTTGAGAGGCCCATTTTCCACAGCATAATCCATGGATCCAATACTGTCAATTCTTGACTTTATCTTCCTGATAATGCAGAAGTAATGGCAATGACTCAGGTAATTGGATATCCGTCACCCAAATGAAAGACAAGGATTGAGTTTCTAGCTCTTGGATTTAGCACAGCCCAGCCCTAGCCAATGTAAGCACTTGGAGTTATTAGTCAGCAGATCTTTCTCTCTCTTCCTTTCTCCCTTTAACTCTGTCTCTCATTCTGAAAAAGTTAACAGGCACAGAAAAGAATGGATGTTTAAAGAGACTGGAGGTATTAAGAGGTACAGAACTGTCAGAGGAAGTGAGAGCACTGAAAGGAAGAAGGTGATCAATAACATCTAATGATAAACAGGAAAGGAAGCTCAGTACTGCAAAGCAGTGGTTTCCTTGAGCAGTGAGTGGTAGAAGAAGCAGTAGGTATTTCAACTGAAAACTGTTATATAAATACATATATATATATATTCCCCCCCCCCCCGAGGAGAAGGTGATGATAGGGCAGAGAGGATAACAACATAGAAAGAAGAGATGCTGCTTTAACTGCAAGAGTGATCTGAACATGAACTGGAGAACAAATGGATGCTAACAGGAGGGTAACCAATCATCTTAGTTTGTCCAGCACAGATTTTTCTTCTTTAGGATTCAGAATTTTGAATAACAAGCTAGGACAATTCCCACAACAACAGTATAGCTGGTAACTCCGGTAAAGAAAGATAGATTAGTGACTTAGGAGAAAATGGATATAATTGTTGGAGCAAAAACCACAAACTATGAAAATAGATCTTAAAGATCTCATCAAACTTTAAAACTTCAAGACACTCTTTGATGATATGGTTCAGCTCTTAAACTGGGATACTAAATAATTCAAAGCTAGAGACCATCCATTGTCAGAAACCACCTGTTTGCCCCTCAAATAGTTGCCAAGAATTTAGCTTCATCATAGCCACATAGCTCATTTCTTAAATATAAGTCACTGACCAAAATGAATTGTCTCTCTCAAGACAAGAGACAGACAGAAATTTCTGTCATTATGGAGATGTAACACCCATCATGTTCACATTGTTCACATTGTTCCTGAAATTTAAAAAAGATGGAAAAGAGGGATAAGTGATTACCTTTTCAAAGTTTTGGAAGTTGTAGACTAAATACTGAAAAGGATAAAAACCCAAGGGGCAAAAGGGAGAAACAGTTCAAGAAAATAAAACAAGAAAATGACAATTTTTTGAAGTTATATCAGACAGCTATAATAATGGCATGTACAAATGGTTAGATGCAAGACCCTCTTCCATTTATTCAATGGCTTACACTTTGAGTCCTGCTATGGATCAGGCACTGTTCTACATAATACTCATCAATGGTGCTTGTAGCAAAGAGTTCGAGTGACAGACACTAGTGGTTTGGTCTAGTGGTTGACACCATTTAATATGTCTGTACCACTCTCCAGACTGCCTGGATTTGCACTGTAGCTCCTTATTCCAGCTTCCTGACAATATGGTCTGTGGCAGGCAGTGGTGATAGTTCAAATAATGGAGTTCCTACCTCACAACGGGGAGAGCTGGGTTGTACTTCTGGCACCTCCAGACACTGTAAGCATTCATGGAATGAGCTTGCAGATTAGAGTTCTTTGTCTTTCTATCTTGCTGTCACTCTCTTCCTCCTTCTGTTTCTCAAATACAATTTTTTTATGGGTACTGGTTTGTGTCCCTGCTGTTCTACTTCCCATTCAGCTCCTGTTTGTAGCCTGGAAAAGCAGTAGAGGATGGCCCAAAGCCTTGGGACCCTGTACCCATGTGGGAAACCCAGAAGCAGCTCCTGGCTCCTGCTTTGGATCGACTCAGCTCCAGGTGTTGCAGCCACTTGGGGAGAGAACCAGCAGATGGAAGATCTTCCTCTCGGTCTCCCCTTCTCCCTAAGTCTGACTTTCCAACACAAATAAATCTTAAAAAATTTTTTAAAATAATAAATACAGATTTTAAAAAATAGGTTTATGTAGT